CGTCGCCGAGTTATATTATATTATATTATATTATAATATATATATATATATATATATTATATTATAATATATATATATATATATATAATATAATATAATATATATATATATCGAACGGTATACCGCTTGGTATACAGTTTCGTATCGTACCGAGCAAACGTCGAAACTTCGGTACGGTACGAAATTGCAGACCTTGCTTTTAAAGAAGTTATTAAGTGATATGATATGTGAAGATGTATATATGTATGTGATTAAAATATTATCATTGACCATATTTGATACTGTTAAACAATATCATAACAAAAATAATTGCAATTATCCAATTCCATATTGATGCTTATCTGGGGTGCTTATGTGGCCTGCATAACTATATATAGTTGATACATATGTAGTATGCAGGACTATATAAGCGGAAGCATCCATTTAACAAAAATAATGGATAATCTTCCATCAAATTTATTTATGTAGGATACAGCTTATCTGGAAAGACTAGTTATGCAGAGGTAAATTCTATGTTGAGGATTCTTATCTGAAGAGCAGATGGAGGATTGCTTTCTATTCTTCGGAAGATGATCCGATTATCATTCATTAATTTCATGAAGATCCAGTAAAGATTGCCATATTGGTTCATGGATTAGTTCCGGTCTTCACACTGGTGCTAAGATTTCTCTGTTAGTGCTTCTACGTAAGGATTTCGTTGAGGTTGCTATCATTATTTCTGTTATTTATTTGATTTTGGTTTTTTAACTTCAACTCAAGTTCTTGAAATGTGTTTACTTTGTTAAATATATGGTGTATGACAGCAACTGTATCAGAAGGCTCTTACCATAAAGTCTGCAATACCCCATCCAAGAATCATGGGAATAATTCATGAATGTGGCGGGAAAATGCACATGGCTGAGAGACAATGGGCAGAAGCTGCCACTGATTTCTTTGAAGAGATGAAGCTGGAAATCAGCGTTGCATCCAATGTCTTAAGTATATAAATATCTAACATATTATTTTCGTGAATTGTGTATCTGGAGGCATAATTATTACAGTCCAGCTCTCATTGTCTATAATATGTTGGATCACACATCAGATATTTGGTTCTTGCCAACATGTTGATGGAATCTGAAGTGAATCCATTTGATGGGCAAGAGGCAAAGCCGTAAGTTTCTTGAGGTTGACACTCATCAATGTTATTCTCTGAGACTTGGTCCCTGTAATGATTTGCTTGAAACCTTATGCAGATACAAGAATGATCCTGAGGTCTTGCCAATGGCAAATCTGATAGCAGCATATCAGCGAAATGAGATTTTGGAGTTTGAGAAAATCTTGAAGGTAACAAGTCTGTGCTATGTTATTAACCATTTGACTTGGAAACATGATAATTTACATGCATTCTGAGCTTGGCCGAAGATGCTTTTTGCAGAGTAACAGACAGACAATCATGGATGATCCTTTCATCCGAAACTATATTGAGGATCTTTTGAAGAATATCAGAACCCAAGTTCTCTTCAAGCTCATAAAGCTCTACACTCGAATCAGGATTCCATTCATCTCAAAGGTGATTGTTTTTCTTTCTTATCATGTTCACACAAGTAGCTTACTAACTTCTTACTAGCAGTTTTGAACAAATGTGAAATGTGCATGGGATATTGAACATACATAAATTCATTCATCATAGACTTGTGAAAGACATTTTTGTTAAGACAATTGAATTTCTGTTTACCGCACTTAAAAAAAGGCTTCGTCTCAGAACACTACTGCATCTGCAGAATTTGCTTAATCCTAGATCTGATGTTACTGCTTCAAACATTAGATTATAAAGTACTGCACAAGTCATCTGTTTTGGGTTTCAAAGAGCAATCTTTGTGTTCTTTTGCCTCCGATTACTGTCAAGTTTGTTTTTCTGGCAGTTGTGGTTGCTGCTTTACTAAGTTTTAATTGGGTATGGGACCCTTGTAAAGTACTTTCCTGTCTCCGCTGGGGTTAAATTTGGCTCCATCTTTTTAGGAACTCAATGTGCCAGAGAAAGATGTAGAGCAGCTCTTGGTCTCCTTGATTCTGGACAACTGTATCCAAGGTCACATTGATCAAGTCAACAGACTATTAGAGCGGAGTGACAGGTCATTCAATTTCCTCTGTAATCTAGCTTCCATTTATATGTTTTTCGTTTATGATATGAAATTAGTAAATTTCTCTTGTACAGGTCAAAGGGACTGAAGAAATATACTGCCATAGACAAGTGGAATACTCAGCTTAGATTACTGTACCAAACAATTTCCAATAGAGTAAGTTAGAGGCTGTAGAGGGTACATTCTTCGAGAGAGACATTTGCTGTTGCTGGGTATCCTTTTACATGTGAAAGAGTATGCTCTACTTATGTACGTATGGAGTTGGTGAAGATTATCATTTTCTTCAGAAGAGCTTTTAGGGCTATATGTTCATTCGTAGTGTAGATAACTGGTGCAAAGAATGTGGTTTTTTTGGCCACACTAGGAGAGGAATCTATATATTCTGGTGGGTTGTTCTTTCTCATGGGCATGCTATTTAAAATTATCAGCTGCTTGTCTTTTGAATGTCACAAAATGTTCTGCAAGACTTCTATTGTTAGGTGGCAGCTGAACTGTCCAGGGGATCTGTGTTCAAACTGTCGTTAGATGGATTAGGAGGTTCTTAAAATATCTTTTACTTATTTTATTTTGTGGAGATCCCTTTTTTTATTGGATTTATTTATTTTTTCCTCTCAGATATCAATGTTTACAGCGAGGTTAAAGGGTTGGAACTTTTTCTTTGTGTTATATTCGTGTCGAAGATTGGTTGAAACTGACTGGTTTACTGTTTCCTTGTCGCGCAGCAGTTGAATTTTCCAAGGAAATCATTCACGAACGTCTTGATGTGGGAGCCTTTAGTTTGTGCAGTAAAACTATGGCTTGACTATTGTTACAGTTATTGTTCTTTCTCCGTCCATTGCAAGCAAGCATAGGTATCTTCTAACCAATATTTTCTCCACCTCATCGGAAAGAAACTTCACTCTTATTACTTTGGATTACTTCGGAGGATATCCCAGTAAGCATGCGAGCAGAGAGGATTGATTTCTGAGCTATAGAAGGAAGATGAGGACCAATACGTTACGTACCGGTGATGTTGGGTAGCCAAAGCAGCAACTCCGGTGGCAAAATGATGAGAGATGCCATGAGAACCACGAGAGGGAACAAACAGATACCATGCGATCGCACAGATTGTCAAGAACAAAAATTGGATAAAAACAAGCACCACCTGACAGACACGCACTTCCTTCCAGTACATAGCGCGTGAAAAAAGGAAAAGCGCACGACTAATGGAACCAAAAGGGCCACCTTCTTTTAACTCACATGCCTACCGTCGTATGGAAAATTACCCACCACCAGAGCAGTTCACCTTCTTCTTTTACGGATCTACCATGAAATTTCCCGATACTGTATTCGGTAACACACAATCGATCACTTAACTATCCACACTAATCATTGGAATGTCTCCTAACTGACTCTCACCTGCGCGCTTCAATCATTCTTTAACCAACTTTAACTCCTCACGGTTGATCTGGCCATCACTATCGACGTCCGTCAGCCAGCTTCTCGCTTGATATGAACACCGATAGCTTCTTCTCCAACCAGAGAGTACAATGTTTTCTTGTATCATCTCTCCTAGTATCTTATTCATTTGCAGGCAGTACTGGCACAAGAGCTTCTTCTGTAGAGGTGAGCAAAGCTACCATGCAACTAGAAGCACAACCTCTTCCTGCAGGTCCCCGGCGGAGGCGACAACTTGAGACACCACCCAAACAGCTCCACGACAAGCTCCTCCACCAAGTCCCACGTGATGTCAGCCTCCACCCACACCCCTACTCTCCCCGCCTCCCACCTCTCCTCCCACACCCCGTCCTCCCACACCTCCTCCACGCTCTCCCCCATCGCCCGGCTCGCGCTCCTCCGCCTCCTCCGCCCTCGCCATTGCTGTCGGACGCTCTCTGTCAGCTGCGCCGGTCCCAAGTCCTCCACGATCGCCCGTCCCTTCGGCTCCACCACCCGCGGCATCGCTTCCATCGAGATCCGACCGTAGAAAGAACAGATTTGGGCAGCATTACATCTCTCCTCGCCTGCACAACGGCATTAGTACGCACGCATGAAGCGTATGTATGTAATATGCATACCATCAAAGAGAGGCACCTAAGCGCGGCGGCGGCTTCGCCATCCTCAATCCAGCGGTCGTGATTTCTTGTTTCTCTGCATCACGATTCGTGTCAAACGTGATGACCTAAATTATTTGACGGGTACGAAGCGGGCCGCTACATACCGTTCGGGGATCCGTTCGACCGATTCCGAGGAGACGATATGGCGTCGAGAACCGAAACGGGACTCGGTTGCTCGCCGTTGCATTGGTTCTTGGGATCTCCGCCGTCCCACTCGAGCCGCCCCGCTGGTCCGCCTGCCGACGGGACCACCTTGGCCTTGATCTCCGCCGAGCGCACCGCCTCGATGATCCGCCTCAGGGCCTGGAGGTCCTCGTCACACTTCTCCAGCGCCCGCAGCAGCTCCCGCCGCTTGTCCGCCGCCGCTGCCACCGGCGGAGCTGGCGAGTCCTCCAACCCCATCAGCCTCGCCACCAGTGCCGAAGGTCGACGGGGACTATCGGGGGATGCGGCGGCGACGGCCGCGGCCGGCCGCCGCCGTATCTCCTGAGGGATTGTCGGGCTCCGCGGCGTCTCGCAGGAGCACCGCTGGGGCTCCGTCTTCTTCCCTTCCTCGTCGTCGATCGGCCGCGGAGGTGGCAGCTTTGGTCTCGATGGAGGTGCGACGGCGGGCTTCTCCTTCCTGTTCGCTGAAGTTTTAACGGGGAGTAAACGGCGAGTTAGGACGGCCTTCAGAGAGAGAGAGAGAGAGATGTGTGGTTACCGGAGGTGAGGCGTTTCCGGGAGCGGTTGTGGTGACGGGAAAGGAGGTGGAAGATGCCGGACATGCAACCGATGGTGTTGGGGCGGTTTTCCGACCCCATCTCCCGGCGCGATGACGAGGTTCGCATCGTCTCCACGTTTCCCATCCGACTCCTCTCCCCTCTTCGCTTCTCTTCTCTTCTCTTTAGCTTCTTCGCGAGGAGGAGGGAGGAGTTGAGACGGAGAGAGTGGCAGGAAGGAGCGAAGCCAGGCTTTTGTTGCTGGGACCATCTCAAAATTACCAGGATGCCATTTTCGCGCTAACAGACGTTCTGCAGATTCTCGCGCGTCGATCACTCGTCTTGGTGGTTTGCGGACACCAATCGCCTCAAAATTCAAATTCACATCGGACGGCTGTGATTCGACCTATTTGATAGGTGACAAGACTTTTTAAGTCACTAACAACATTGTTTTGCTTGCTCGCTCGCTCGCCCGATCCGAGCTGGATATACACCCGATCAACTCATCCCACAATCATAGCATTTGCCTCTCTTGATTTCTCTCGTATGACGTCGATCATTAACGAAATGAATCGTGATTGTTTGGATTAAGTTCATCCTCTTAGAATATCACCAACGCATGATCCGATCGGACGACGGTGAACGGGGACGGACGGTGGCGATGTAAAGTCCAGCGGTGGCCCACAGTGAGTAGCTTTTTGTCGTCTTCAATAAAGATTGTTTGTGGTCTTTAATAAAGAGGAGAAAAGGTTGAAGTGGTGGGGCCCGGGGATAGGGGACAATGATGCTGTAACTGGCCGAGGAGACATGACCCACGTAGTCCTGCGGAACTTTAAAGTGGCATCCCAGGATAACAGTTCAGTTCGCCGGAGTGAGAGCAGGACCACCATCGATGAACATGTTCTTCTCTTCTTCTACTGTTGGAGTGAGAGCAGATGTGTGGAACATGGCATGGAGACATCCAGAAAGCCACACCAACTTCTCGACTTAGTAGTTCTTTGATGGAGGAACCCTATGAACAATCTACTAAATAACAAAAAGCAACGGAGAGATCAATGTGAAGTTTCCTTCTGTTGCTCATTAACTATGTTGAAAGCGCATTGTAGAAGGCATCTCTTTCGGTTTATGATAATAGAGAGGAGAAGTAAGATGGCGACAGTCCCTTAACATTCCACTCTATCGGCTTCTGAGCCGTGCACCGGTCGAGGGAGAGCCGAGGAGCGTAGAGTGACATCATTGATCTCAGGCACCCACTAAGTTTTGCCGAGCACCAAAGACGAAGGTGAGCGGAGGAGGAGACTTCGCATGTCAGATGAGATTCACGTGCCCTGGTCTGTGAAGATATGATGATGGTAGAGGGAGGAGAGAGAAGGGTGAAGAAGCATGCCAGCAGCTGAATGATGGAATACATGCCTGCTTTGTGAAGATACTGATGGCTACATCTCCTCCTTTCTTTGCCATATCGACCGACATGCATCAGCTTACACGCTGGAGACACTCAAAAATAAAAATTAATTTAACAGAAACTCCAAGAATGTGTATGGATATGCTCAGCAATAAATCTTGGCAAAGTGGCAGAACCAGTTGAAGTCATCTTCGGAGATTTCCGATCATCACCTGGTTGTAATTTTTGAAACCAAGTACATTTATGACAGTCGAGAAGCTTTGACAAACTCTGAAAACTTCTTTCTTGATAACATCAAAAAAGATGAACACTTAATGGGCTTTCTCTTTTTTCCTTTCTTTCTTTCTCTTCAATTTTTTGTTTTCCTTTTTATTTTGACAGCATGATTAAAGCCTTCTTGCTGCTTGTTTTCCCTGTACAAATGCCCACCCTCCTTTACAATACAATTGTGATGAAAACTTACAACATATTAGACAACACAACATCATAAATTCATTCTGAAAAGACCATATAACAAAATAAATAATAATAAAAATAAGGCATTCTATATCATGTCCTGATCTAGTCCCAGCAACTCTGCAACTCACGCAGCACTCCTCCCATAGAAACACTCATGTGTTTACTGTGGTTTTCTTCTTACCAGGTTGAGTCAGAAAGGGTTTGAAGGTCAATAAGAGACCAACGACCCCAACCATGTCTAAGACGAAGAAAACAATATAGTCACCTGTATCCCAACAAACAAGTTAGTTCTGCTGAAATTTACCTTCGATTAACAAAAGAATCAATGTAGATAGTTTCTGAACGAAACCATTTATTTGACTGCAAATCTATGATGATAATTCACAAGTCAGTCCTCTAGGAGCTCACTGTCTAATCAATTAAAACACTAAGTGTGCAGCAGGACCAAGATTGTGCAGGCTAAACCTACTTGATATAGCTTGCAAAGAGGTTCTTGGTCTGATATATAGATCATCCATTAAATTAGCATCTTTGCTCAACTTCTACTTTTTCTGTTAGATATTTGTTCCTGATCCTCTTCTGTTTTCGGTTAATATTTAGTATGTATGGCTCTTATTCCACTTGGATGACCGTATGGCTTCGGCCTACATAAAGGGACTGACACTTTGTTTGCAGTGGAGTTGTTTTAATCAACAAATTTCTTAATCAAGACTTTATTCCATTTACAAATTAACAGCCTTTCCCAGACACTTCCAAGTACAATATCATTATATCTTCCATGAATTAAGTCATACCTGGCAAAATGGAAACACCTTGATGGTTTTGTGCCCATGAAAACCTGAGAAATAACCAATAAAAAAAAGGGAAAACAACATAAATATTTGTAGCCATGACATATGCCTGGAAAATGAACATATTATCAGTAGCAAAATTTTCTATGCTTTGCTAATAAGACTCAGCTTTTGGAGAAGGCATGACAGTAACTAAGTTTATCTAAGATCTTGATCCATTAAATTTCTAGATATTAGGAAAACTCATCCAAAATCCTTTCAATTTGTGTACACGCAAAACATAGATAATTATGCTACACAATCTGTTGATTAACGTGTAGCTCATGTTTCATCCGTACTTTCCAACTCTTAATCATTGGTGTTGAATATTTCTAAATTTTAAGCTATAATTATTACAGAAGTGTATCAATTCTTTTTTTATCAATTAAGAGAAGTGGAATGTTGCAACCATGTTTGTCGAGATCAAATCATCTGAATATTGAGCAACAGTTAGTTATCACTTGCTGGCCCTGTAAACCCATTATCCTATGCTGCCTATGCCAATTTTATTAATTCCAGTAACCTTATTCTTGTTTGTGCTTTCAGAACAAAACTGATGACATTCTGCCTCTGACTAGCCAGACTATCCAAATTTATTATCTAACACTGCAGCTTCAGGTAGAAAATACAATATTTATTCAGTTACTTGGAATCTGAGAATTCTTACACTTATACCAACAGCAAGAACTTGTAAGATCCCAATGTTCTCCTTTTACCCTCCTTTTCCAGCATTACCTTCTTACTATACTTGAACCTTAATGATTTAAACCCCTAAGCCTATTTACTCTCGATGATAAGAGAATTCAAGTCTGCTCTCCATTTCCAAGTTTGGTCATGGTTAGTTTACTGAAGCTTCTCGATCTCATAACTCAATGGTTCCTAGATGTCAACAAACTGTATGCTGGCTCTGTTGGGACACTTGCCAAATGTTTCAAACTACATGATTGTAAGTCATATTGGAAATTATATCACTATCTGCAGTATCAGATCTGCATCACTAGCCTCTCCAGAAGAAAAGACAGGTCGAAAGACCATTTTTTATAAGCCAAAGAATGATAGCGGTGGTAATTTAGTTAATTGTTGGTCCTTTTGGCAAGTAAAGAAATAGAAAATAATTTGAAAGAACTATTGGATTAAAACATTTTTGAACTGGATTCATAAGAATTTGCATAAATCAGTATACAGTGTCTACCTGGACAGAAGCCCAAATTTCATGTAATACAGATTTCATTTTTATGACCTTAGAATCAAACACCAACTTACGGAGTTATGACTTTAATGCAAGAACCATCTGAGAATAAGCAACAGGGCTACATCAGAAAAAATGAGTTCGGTGACAATCATTTACATCACCAACCAATTATCTCCTATAACCCATCTCAGAAGGCTTCCTAACAGTTGAATTGCTTGGCAATTTAAAAGTCACGCTTATTGATAGCCTAGGTCCTAATTCTGAAAATAATTGTCTGCATTCTTATATCTGATAAGGTTCATCTGAAGTTTATCCGTCAATGGTAACCTAAAGTAACCTAATAAGGAACCTTAAGAAACACATGGAACCACAGGACAATGCCAGAATCTTTTGGGAGCAATTTCAACTGTTTAAAGGGGTAAAAAAACAAAGAAACTAAACTGTTTAGTGAAATAGAAAACAACACTTTATTTATTGAGAATCAGCTACAAGGAAAAGTTCATCTTTTTTTAGGGCACTGAACCACAAGCAACAGAAGATACTTACAAAATTCCTGCACCTGCTGGAGCAAAAGCTTTAAACAGGGATAGAGCAGTCACAGCCATACCATTTGCAGCACCTCTTTGATGTTGAGACTGCCAACATGGATTTAAGTCAAAACACAGATGTCCTGACAGTGCACATTTGTCGAAAACAACGAAAAGAATACATGTTAAATAGAGAAGGACAAAATTACCACGGCATTGTTCTGCAGAATGTTCAATCCAACAGTGATGGTTGACTGTATTCATTAGATAGAAGCAAATTAGAACACTCTCCATTAAGGAAAAACAGCAACTATTTTACTTCCTAATAAAAGCAATTTCAACTATCAATCCAAATCAATGATATGAAGTTACGCACATATTTAATTTGCAAGAGAAAAGGGAGTGCAAATTGCATATATATCTGCATTAACTTAAGGAGGTTAACTCCTATTGTGGTAAAGAATACAATGTGTTGTTGACAAATTGACAGATATAATTGAGTTTAAATGGTACATGACAGTTATCAATTAATATAATGTTCAAAATGTTAGACAGCTGCAGACAACATATAAAAAGTCAGTTGGGGAGATTACAACTAAAAATCTGAGAAGCTTTTTATATGCTAGAAAACATTGGTTGCAAGTAATGTTATTGAAAAAAAGGTCACCACCTTATTCAAAATAAACAAGTTCGAGTTCAATTGATACTCACAGAGAAAATACTCCTCAATGAAGATGCACAATTTACTGACAGGTTTAGAATAAATCCAGATAACTTTGTCATGAATGGGTAGCTTGCAAGCAATGGTATCAACAAAGCCTAAAAATAATAAAGAGCACGGCATCACACAAAGAAAAACAAATCAATCATAATATCAAAGTATTACA